GGTCCTCATCAGGCTGCAGCACAACTGTGATGCCTATTTCCTCTCCCAAGGAGTGTAGTCTTAACAGCAGGTGCCCTCGGGACACCTCAAACTTACTCAATGCCTATTTGGCAAAATAGTTACAATGAAGCCAATAAATTCACCACCTTAATTTAAAAGAGGCATATCTCAAAAAATAATAAATAAATAATAAATTTTTAAAAAGCCTTGGCAGCTAAAACACTACAAATAAAAACAGAAAAAAAAAAAAAAAAAGAAAGCTGTATTTACCCCCTGTATTAGGAAACGCATACCTTTAAACATTTAATAATTGTGTCTTTTTTCTACATGAAAATCATCAATAGATGATCTTGAGCACCCAAAAGAATGTTTTGCCATTCCTACAGAGAATAACAGGAGCGTCTTTTTCCAAACTGGCAGAAGGGAAACAAGGGTCAGAAGGGGTTAGTCACTAGTTACTCTTTTAACCCAAGGTCACACACCTAAATCTCTGATGCAAAAGACTACACTTCTCTTTCCTTCTTTGTGTCTTGGGCTCTCTGTTCCCCTCATCTGAACAGTTTTCCCTTTAGTCAACAGACTGAACACAGACATTTCCATGAATGTGTTCTATAATCAGGACTGTCAATTAGGAGAAACCGATCCTTCTCAGAGTTTTTTCTAAACACTTGAAAAGAACAATCTATCTATACTTAAATCTTTGTATTTTCAAGAAGATTAAGCTCTGACGTTTTCTAATTTTAGTGAAAGTCACTAAATAGGGAAAGCAAATCTTTGATCCATCAGAGAAGAAAAATGTATACCTTCTGAATTAATTGTATATTATATATATATCTCAAGTTAAGACTTAAATGTAATACTAAAATATATATAATTTAATGTGCACTTCAGATAAACATTTAAAACATAAAAATAACTTCATGTAATACAAGTAATCATTATAGCATCCTAAAATAACATATTTATATAAAGCAAAACATCCTTATTCTCTACTGATAGAATCTAAATGAAACATTTTAATATCTTACTCTTTTGGATAATTAAACAATAAATTCCATTAACTTTACATTTATCCATAGATTAATATAATTTAGTTTACCTGTGCTCTGAGTGCAATGTATGAAGTAGTAGAAACTGCAGAAACCCAGCAAACGTAACAGCAGCATCGGAGTGGTTAACTAAATGCCACTGGCATCAAATCATTAAATTTCAGCTAGCAATGGCAGCAAATGCACAACACAATTAAAAAATCCACCAAAATAAAAAATTTTAAATAAAATTCCCAGTGGTCCTTGCATTCTAAATCAAAGTCAAAAAAGCCTGCAGTGTCCAACATTATACAACAGTGACACTAAACAAGGCCATAAGTGCTGCTGTCATCAAAACAGATCTCTGCAGTGTACAGATTCTCATTGATTACAGCATTAATCTATAGTGCTCTGTGCTGTACTAAAGTGGCTCCCAGAGTAGCATACACTAAAGCTCTTTTAGCTCCGCAATTAACCATTTCCTAAAACAATGCTCAGAAGCTGCTACCTTCCTGCAGCCAGAGAGATGAAACGCTGTGGTCCTTAAAGCTAACACAGAAGAAAAGACTCAGGCAAATGTTCAGGAGCTCATCTTGTACCCACTGACACTCACTGCAATACCTATGGGTTAAGATGACAAGGCTGAGCAGACGCCTGACCGTCAGACCACAGAAAACTCACCTGAAATGATTTGGTTCCATTATCAATCACTGGCAATGGTCCTGCCAAGCCCTGTGTAACAGATCATTTCCTCTGCAGTTTCCCTAACTGAGGAATCTTACTCAGCTCAATGACAACAACTGGCACCAGAAAGCATAAACCAAGAGTATACAATCGATTGTTGGGAACACAGGCAAAAGCGCTTCTTCAGGCTGATCTGGTACAGCCAGCCTAGTGCTAATGGTGGCTCATCTCCAGAGGGCAAAAGGACAACCTCAAATAGGTTTTGCCAGGGAGTTGGGGACAGGAGAAGGTGGCTCGTATTTCTGATATTTTTAAAGATGCATATTTTTGATGACTGTAGATGCATAATTCATAATACAATAGATTTTTTTCTGAGACACAGAATAATTATCCTCTCATCGGGTCACCTACATTTTACTTCACCCATATTTTGTGTTACAGAACAACAGCAACGGTAACAACAAAATTAGTTGATTTGAAATTGTTACTATCTCAATTACATTTTCAATGTAGTATAACATTTAGATTCCAGAAACAGCAATGAATAATGACATACTTCTCTAATCATCTTGGGATTATTTGCTGAATAATCAAGGTGGACTGCTTCTAGTTTGTTTTAGAAAATGAAATGGTCAAATGATAACAGAGAGAAAATGAGGAACATCTTTCATTTATTTAAAACAAATGGCACTGTGTTTACTTAAATTACATGTACTTGTCAAAAATAATTATCTCATGAGAAAAAAATTAAAACTGAACCATGGATCATCTCATTACCAAAACAACTGCAAAATATCAGCCTTAAATGAAATCACTAATTTGAACAATTTTTCTCTCTTAAAAGAACATATTTATGGTCTCATTCAGAATATTTTTTTTTTTCTTTTCTCAAACTTCCGCCTATGCTTAAAGCTAGCTGTAGTCAAAACCTGACCAAGTTATTGTTGGGAAAAGCAAAAGGGAAATAAACATTAATTGAATGCTTATTAAGTGCCAAATATTATACTGTCTATTAATTTTATTTAGTTAATTTATTTCTCATAGGCATATGAAAAAATCAGTAATACTTATCCCATATTAGAGATGGGGTTTAGAAAAGCTAGTTAACTTGCCCAAAGTCATATGATTTATAATCAGCAGAGTTGGAATCTGAAGTTGGCTTTCTCTGTTTTGAAAGCCACGTATGAGCTTTTCACTACATCACGGTAGTTAGGAGTTCCTGCAATTATTTTGTTGAATTACTTCAAAGTTATATCACTTTTTGTGCAAGTACTCGTGACTTGTTGGCGGTGCAGCGGGGCCCTATAATGATAAACTTCTATTTCTCATGTTTGGAGGTGGTGAGGATTTTCCGGAGCAGCTAATGGGGCTGAAGTCTTGTACTTGCTGAACTTAAGTTGCTTCCATTATGATATGGTCATTAAGAAGACATACAGATGGCATGGTCTAGAGGTAGACCTGCTGGCCCAGCAAGTATACAGAAGAGAAACAATAGAAAGCGAGTCAAAACTTTCAACAACCAACATACTTATTTTTGTCTGGTTGAAATCATTACCATATACTTTTCTTTGACTAGAATTTAAGAATGCATGAATCAGGCTGGGCGCGGTGGCTCATGCCTATAATATCGGCACTTTGGGAGGCTGAGGCAGGTGGATCACCTGAAGTCAGGAGTTTGAAACCAGCCTGGCCAATATGGTGAAACCCTACCTCTACTAAAAATGCAAAAAATTAGCTGAGTGTGGTGGCAGGTGCCTGTAATCCCAGTTACTCGGGAAGATGAGGCAGGAGAATTGCTTGAACCCAGGAAGCAGAGGTTGCAGTGAGCCAAGATTGTGCCATTGCACGCCAGCTTGGGTGACAGAAAGATTCCATCTCTCCCCCCCCCCAAAAAAATGCATGAATCATATAAGCCTATGTAGGCTTGTCAACTGAAATAAAATATTTTAATACACTGCATGTGTCTATTGTTGTGCTTGAGTTGTGAGATTTTAAAAAAATATTTATTTCTCTATTCCTATTTCTTTTGTTTATTATCCAGTATGGGCTTATTTCAAATTATAAAATCATTTTTAATGTCATTAATCTAATATTTGTCCCTCATTCCATCTCATGAATTTTTATTAATTTATTATAATTACCTTGAGTTCCCTAAAGTGCCTTGATACAAGAAAATTTATCAAATAGTAACAAATTGCATTTCTAACAGAAAATACTTAATAGACCAAAGAGGGTTTGATAACAAATTGCATTTCTAACAGAAAATACTTAATAAACCCAAACAGGGTTTATTAATCAAAATGGTATTCATGGCTTTCAAAATTACAGAATCAAAGCAGAGAATCAATATTAGAAGAGATTAATGTTGACCTTACTCTAAAATATCCTCACTCATTTCTGGGTACCACATACTATGAGCTTTCATGCATAGTAACAAGTGTTATTCACCGGAGCCACTGTCTAGGTAAAAGTAGAAAAAAATCTTTCTATTTTCATTTTTTAAATTCCAAAATTTATGTTAACAATATTTACTCATTTAAAATATTTCTACAACTCTTCCATCTTGAGCCATATATATCCTTTTTCTGGGTTATATATTTCACAGCCTCATACTTAGTTGTGATTCCACAGCTATATCAAAGACCAGAAAACTGATTTCCCTTGGGAGAGAACACATAAAACCTAACATCAATTGCAATTTTGAGCTTCCTTCATATATTCCATTTGACCTTGTCCTATTGTAGTTTAGGTCAAGGCCTGCATTTGTGAAAAGGTTTTGGTTCTTTCACAAGAACCCAGGAACCATTATTTTTAAAAAGTGACACAAACTTCCTATTTTTGAATTGATATTCCACTAATGATGACTGCATTTGTCATGTATCTCTCATTCTTTGTATGAGATAGTAAAGCATAGAACACATTGACAGAAAAGAAAACCCATGCACAATTAAGTAACCTGCTATTTTTTAAATTATTTTCACAGGACATTGATTTTCTCATCTTCAAATCTTTCTTGATGTGACTATTACACAGGAATAAATCATAAATATAATTAATCATCTTAAAATCTTTAGGGTTATACTATAAACCCTACAATCTCATTTCAGAGAAACAGATTAAAGATAAAGTTGGTAACTGGAAACTTTATTCAATTAAGAACACTGTACCCCTGACACACAGAGAATAGAAATATTTTGACTGGAAAATAGATACAGAGGGAGTGTTAAATAGAGATCTGGGTACAACTGGGACAAAAATGAAGTGGGATTACCATTATCTATTTCTTACCAGCAACTCCTCGTCGAGCTTCAATTGTTCTCTCTTCGGAATCAACAGACCTTACTTCTTCCCATCCTTCTGAAGAGACATGAATCCCAGGTGCGCACATGACAGCAACCTTGCAAATAAATCCAGCTTCAGAGATTTAAGCTTTGCTGTTTAAACCACTCTCTGCTGCTCAAGATCTTATCTAAGAAGGGTGTGAAGTGCCTCCTTCATCACTCTGCTTATATCATTGAACAACAGGACCAGCAGAAAATGGAAACTGAAATAAAACATTGGTGTGAAAACAAGAAAGTCTCCTTGCATGACTGACTCAGGTCACTGCAGGCACTGTGCAGTTACCCAAAGGATTGCTTGGATAAAATACTGTAGACAAGCTTCGGTGGGCCTGGTGGTGTGGGGACTGGTAGCATTTACTGAGGAGAAGCATATTGGCATCTCTGTTGGGTTTTAACCAGATCCACAGGATTCAGGAAATAAGCTCTCTGCCAGATGACACTATGCTCCTAGCCATTCCTTCTGTTTACTTATCGCCCAAATTACTCTAACTAGTGTCCTTTGTCCTGCTGTGAGCTTATTTGTGGAGAAGGCTAAATAAAGGATTTTTATGACAATGAAATGGCCATTGGCCCATAGAACGATTTCTTAACATAACTCTTTTGCTTTTGTTCAGTACTATTAAAATTAATTAAATGGGAGCACTTATTATTATATCTTTGATTTATGAAGAAAAACACTTTTTTTGTTTCTTCTTGAAATATTTGAACTTAGGCTGTATTTTTAACTATTATATATTCTTTACATAATACTTACCTCTTATTACAAAACTTTTTAAGGTAGGTCCTCTTTCCCTATTGTTTTATTTTTCTATCAGATTCAAATACATATATATGTGAATATATTATATATAGATTCCTATTATATGTGACATGGTACAAAATTAATACACACTTCTGAAATATGAGGAGCTGTACCTTCTGATAAACGAGATGCATTTTCCTACTTTATGGAAAAAAATATGTATATTTATCTACCTTAACTGTAGTCTTTTCACTAAAACAAACAAACTAAAAATTTCACATGTAATTTTAATTTAAGCATATATTCCTGCAGGTAATTATTAATGTTTTGGAGTTCAATACAGAAAATGTTGTAAATAGCAAAAATAACACAATCACCTTGCATTTACATATATTTCACACTTCCTAAATAATATTCATGTGCTTCAAAATGAATCTGAGAGGTAACAAAGGTGGACAGCATTAACAAGAGAATCAACCACGTAGAGAAACAGACATGGAGTATTACCAAGACTGGTTTATCCTGGAAATGAAATTCCTAAGTCACTAACCTAAGGCTTCTACTTCACCAAACTTTCATTTTCAAATTAAACTTTGGTAGTAACATATAGCCAGAAAGTACAGATAAAAACCTATTTCTATCAAATGCCAATATTTTTAATGTTGAAATATTAATCTCATATATCTTAGAAATTCCTTTTTATTCCTCCATAGTCGTATTAATTCCATACGTAAAATAAATCTGATTTTCAAATCACAAATCTCCTACAAGTAAAACTTTGAAGTAATACTCAATAATGTATTGATTTTCTAAGTTCTGTACACCACCAGCGTATTAGGGACAGTACTGAAGTACTATACAAAAAATGTATATATTATTTCCAAACTCTTCCAAAGTACTTTCAAAAGCTGAAAAACATCTCTACTCATCTATAGCTGACTTACTTATGTAATATCATCTGTTGCTTACAATTATACCTTGTAAAAAATGTATACTTCCATATAAACAAATATACCAATCATTTTAAATAATGAGGATGTCTACATAATTTACTGTTGATAGGATGTAAATCTAGCATCTCATTCTTTATGGACTACAGAATGAAGACTGCCCAGGTAGAACCAACACATTACTACTGAGTTGACTGTCTAAATCTGCTGTGTGAGCTCTGCTATATTGTATTAACGTACTGGCACTTAAGAATCAATAGCAGGACAAACTCTGGATAGAAGAGGGTAAATATATTGTCTTTTAATCTGTACATGTGGAAACTCTAGATCCTTTTAGTAATACCAAGATCCTTAATCTTTACAACCAGGAGTAGAATGTAATATTTATGAAAGGTTATGGCATAAAATTATGTTCAAGTTCACGATACCTCCTCTGAGAGGTTTTCATTGACTAAACCCAATGCACATTAATCTTTTTATTGTTTAGTACTTCCCTTTAGGTCTTCAAGGGAGAGCCAGTCTTACATAATCTTTCATTCTGTTATTTCTTCCAATTTTCACTGATCCCTGCATGCATGCATTCAAAACTTCTTTCATCTAACAAAAATTCTGAATATCAACTATACTAAGCACTGGAGTAAAAGGAAAAAATATACAGAACAAGTCTGTGCCTTAAACGTTTAAATGCTATTATTATTCCCATGTTACAGATGAGGAAACCGAGGCTTAGGGATGAAAAATGACATATCAAGTCAGTGGCAACACCAGAATTTGAATTCAACAAAAGCAATAATCATCAAAGTTAATATCGCTTTAGATTACCACTTCCTTAAATCTGGGGGCTCTCACCTGACATCTGGTTCAAGGCTGTGTTCTTGGTAGTCTGTGATTGAGGCAAATAAATCTGCACTAAGTAAAACATACATTATGCTATTGGCTAAGGTCCTCTGTGAGAATCCAGTATAGCTCTGCCATGCCATGATCTCACAACACCAGTTTACAGAGATGTTAGCAGATGGTTTAAAATAAAAGGGCCCCAATCACATGTATTCAGGACACACTGCATATTCTAGTTTTTCTAGAAAAGTAACAAGGCACATTACCAGAAAAGGTGGTCAGAAGTCCTGCATTGAGGGCACTTCCAGCTAAAGTTAGCACTGGCTAAACTTATTTGAGCATAAACAATATTTTTGGCAACATTTACTAAGCCCGTTATTTTGCAGTAATAGTTGGAAAAATGCTTGCATTATTAATACTGTGTATTCTGATTTTTGTTAAGCTATCCTGAGGAACAAGAATGAGAGAGAAGTATTGGATCCCATTTTAGAGATTAAGAGTTGATGTTCAGGACCATGTTGTTCCTTTAGGTAGTTTCTGTAATAAAAGGGACTCATGTCTTGTTCTGTCACTGTGGTATCTGTGTTTCTGCTACCACAAATTATCAGCTCAGCCATCCCTCCTGACCCAGATGGACAGCTTCTGTACCAAAGTTCCATTTATTAAACTCTACATAATCAAATGGAGGCAAATGTTTTTAGTTTTCTTTCTTTCTTTCCCTCCCTCCCTCCATCTCTTTCTTTTTTCCTTTCTTTTCCTTTCTTTCCCTTTCTTTCCTTTCTTTCTTCCTTTCTTCCTTTCTCTCCCTCTCTCTCTCTCTCTCTTTTAGATGGAGTCTCGCTCTGTCGCCCAGACTGCAGCACAGTGGCGGGATCTCGGCTCACTGCAAGCTCCGCCTCCCGGGTTCACGCCATTCTCCTGCCTCAGCCTCCCGAGTAGCTGGGACTATAGGCACCCGCCACCACACTCGGCTAATTTTTCATATTTTTAGTAGAGACGGGGTTTCATCGTGTTAGCCAGGATGGTCTCAATCTCCTGACCTCGTGATCCACCTGCCTTGGCCTCCCAAAGTGCTGAGATTACAGGCATGAGCCACCGCGCCTGGCATATGTTTATTTCTTTTGCTGAAACTTAAAATATTTCAAGACAAAGTCCAACTGACATAGCCCAGTAAATTCCAATTGCATATAGCTAAACACAAAATAAATCAATATTCAAGATACAATTTGTGGAGTAACAATAACAAGATAGAAGGCAAAATTAGTTTTGAAGACATAAGAATTCTTAAAATATTAGGATTTGGGAAATTAACATATTTAGTTCAATTTCTTCCAGGATTGAGAATCTCTTTCATAATTACAATTTCCTGAGTTATAAGGCTTCAATTCCTCTTATATCACTATTTATAGGCTTTCCACAAGGGTGGTTTGGACATTAGAAGCAACTCTGGTTATAAAATGCCTAACTGGAAAAATGTAAAAGGTTAAAAAGGACTCCAAGTATTTGACGCTATCAAGGGGCCTCTGGATCCCAAATTGCTCTGAAATTCAAATTCAAATTAAGTTACAGGTATGGAAATTATTGTTTTCAAAGCGTAGTAATGATGCTACTTATAAATGAATATGAGCACCCAATGAATTATATTCTTTGTTTTACAGTGTGTTAAAGGACAAGCATGTTTAAAAGAGATCTTCGATGAGAACTGGTCTGTATCATTTGCTTTGATTTGTCATGTTTTCTAAGCTAAGGAGCCCTACAGCTTCCAGACCCTGACCTAACCATATGGAGAAATTGAGGCAATTACTGGATATGGAATAAAAGGGATCAGAATAGCAAACATGTCAAAATGTCAGACAGTGCCAGGATGTGACCCAGGGTTGAGAAGGGAATTTTTCAGAGATAATATTTTTAGGAGATTTGGAGAGACGATGTTTGGGTAGGACAGGAAGATCAAGAAAGATATAAAAGGTAAGTTTGTAGTGTGCCTAATTAATAAACCTGATTCACTTACTACCATGGAATGTCTCTCCTCCAATTTTTACCTTCTGACTGATCTTACACATTACCTACAGGAGATCTTTTCAGTGCTTTTCATGGTGATGAGATATTTAAAGGATAATCACAAGCTGACAATTTCAGTCTTAAGATGGGCACAAATGGTTTAGTCATTACTGTATTCCTCTGTAAAAGACAAAAAACATGTCAGAAGAAAAAGGATTCCAATTTACAAAGCCAACATTTTAGCTCTCTGAGCACCATTTCTGAGCATCTGCCTGTTCTTTGTAACTTTAATAATTGATCCCACAGGAATGGAAAAAGTTTTGAGCTTAAAACTAGGTGGGAAAGGTATTATAGAATGAGGTATCACTGACCAAGGACCAAATTTAATGTTATTTTCTTGGTGTAGGATTATATTACAATGTAGGCAATATAAATTCAGTCTACAAAATCCACTTAACGAACAGATGAGCAGAATGAGATTTCAATTTATTGCAACAGACTTATTGTGTGTTTTTGTTTTCATCCAAGGTTCAGACAGAAATAAGATTACTCATTTACCTAAGCTGTGTCAAGTTTTACATTCATCCTTTCATTATGGAGAAAGCACTCTGAGTGTCCTGGTCTTGTACAAAGATGCAAAGTTAAAAAAGAGGTTAAAAATTTGCAATTTCCTGCTTCTTAGGAGGGAAACATTCTCATGGCCCTGTGTGGTTTAAAAATGCAAGCCCACCACCATTGTAAGTCTTGATTTATTCAGGCATATTGCTGAAGTATCACTTCACATACTTACAGATCTAATTTTCTCATTTCATTTCCGGCACTTGGAGGTTGGAGATTTCTTTTTCACACAAATTCAGCTATGCTTTTAAAAATGTTATCTTTATGCATCATTTATAGGTTTTCTCAGTGGAATTTGGGGGGTTTGGGGAGAATTTTGTTTGTTTTTTTGTTTTGCCTACTTTTAATTTCTTTAGCCTCAGCAGCCATGTTACTGTAAACTGGAAGTAATTTCAAGTGGTGTCCTAGTTAGCTTTTTCCCTTTGATATGCTGACAGTTTTAAATCTGATTTGTCAGTTCAAATGCCATTAATTGGATATATTTATTTGTCTTCACAGAACTACAATTCAAGTAATGCTATCTGAAGTAACAGTGCCTTCTTTATTATCCTATTGCCTACACACCTAGTTGCTTCCTAGGTATGGTCATGGACATCAGCTATTTCTTCGCTAAAAAAAAAAAAAAAAAAAAAAATCAACAAATCAAACAAGCTAAGTAGAAATGTTACACAAAATATGACAAGACTTAAAATACCAAGTTATTAAAGAAAGCACACAGTCAAGTAGAGTCAAGATCATTTACATGATGTATAAGCTAAGTAATTAAATGCTACACAGAAGTGTATGTCTCACTCCATTATTTCTGCACATCATTCTACTTTTCTATTTATATGTATCCACCTGTTGTCCTCTCTATGTGAGAAGTATTTTGAAAATCTATTAGGAATTAAACAAAACAAATCAAAACCAGTGGTTTTCCAGAATAGAAGGCTCCCTAAATTCTACCTCAGCTGAATTTCCAACCAAATCACATAAGGCCAGTACTTTCTCTGGGTTATACTTTGCCTACAGGACCAGACTACTTCTTGCTTGTTTGTTCTTCTCTCAAATAATTTTGAAAATTTTTTCTTGAAAATATTTATGAACTTTCTGTCAAAATATAGATACACATATAGTCTCCTACCTCTAAAACAATATTTATTTCATAAAATAAACAGTCACACTATAAAACATAAATAAGACAAATGTAGAGCTAGAATCTTTAAAAAGTAAAGTGGTGAGAGTGGCTGAAGCCACCCAGCCCACTGAAAGGCAGTGCAGGTGGGTAGAGGCTACTGGAGCTGCAATGTCCTGTCCTGCCAGGAGAGAAGTCAGTCCATGCCTAAAGCTCCTCCTATTAATTGGGCTAAAAGAAACCCCAATCAATCTCTCCCAGGGTTGCTACTTGCAATGTGCCATATACCCTGTGACTTGGGATCAAGGTACTGGAAACTATGGAAGAAAAAAGTCTATGCTATATACCCAACAAGAATATCATTCAAGAAATGATAACAAACTAACGGCATCTTACTATCCCCAGACTCTCACTGAAAAAATTAACAAAGGACATGCCCTTACAAGAAGAAAAATAAAGCAGAAAGGGAAAATGAGAAGTAACCAAGAACAATGAAATCATTTAAACATGTTGGCAATTAAGTATTAACCATAATAACACTGATATCTATTTATGTGAATATTGAAACATAAGTTGAACTTAAATTCCAAATCATATCATAGAAGATAGAATAAAGACAGTAAATTTTTGAGAAAAGTGAAAGAATGCTAAAGTCTTCTTTCGTAGACATATGATTTAATTTTAGATTTTACTAAAAAGTTCTAAAATTAAGTACTTCATTGAAAAGTTAAGGTTTGCATTAAAGGATAGAAATGAAATGCATAATGCCTTAAACTCTAAAAGAAATGAAGAGACATGGAAAACAACTTGTTCTATCTTTAAGAATGCATGAAAGGTGAAAAAGCAAAGCCAAGGAATGAATGGTAAATAGAAAACCTGAGCAAATACAAATACAAGAGAATATGTCTATGGTAGGGGTTTAAAAATACAAAACAAAACAAAACAAAAAGACAACAGAAAAAAATATAAGTATACTCATTTTGATATATATCCTGTTAGTTCTCTGTGCATATATGTAATCATTTTTTCAAAAACATACCATATAGTATACATATAATTAGCAATCCCTTTCCCTGAAGTATCACAAATATATTTTTATGTCATTAAATATAACAATATATAACAAGATTTTCATGGCTACACAATATTCCTGTAAACAGTGCCTTTTAACCAGTATCTTATTGTTGGAAAATAAGCTGACTTCTAATTTTTATATTATAGAGTTTGTTATCATAAAAAATATTTGCCCATATCTATCATAAAGTATTTATTATGTCAAGATACTCTTTGTGATTCAACCACATTTTATAAACTAAATATAAATAAGCCAGTTAGAGTTAATGATTGCGGCTATTAAATAAATTTGACAAGTTGACTCATTATTTGGGTTACGGACAAGTTCTTACATGATTTCAATTCCAAATACCAGGCTTGTTTGAGTTTGAGCTACTCCAATCACTATTCTAGCTCCCCCATTAACTGTGAAATACACAATCTCATGCTCAATTCAACTCAGTTTCCCAAAAGTCCTTAATTTCTAACCTAACTCATGGTTTCCCAAAGAAAGAGCTGTCTTGGCAGCCCCTACACCTAATTTAGAGCTCTTATTCTTTCTAGGGATTATGACAATTAAAATTTCAGCTTCTAGCCGGGCGCGGTGGCTCAAGCCTGTAATCCCAGCACTTTGGGAGGCCGAGACGGGCGGATCACGAGGTCAGGAGATCGAGACCATCCTGGCGAACACGGTGAAACCCCGTCTCTACTAAAAAGTACAAAAAAACTACCCAGGCGAGGTGGCGGGCGCCTGTAGTCCCAGTTACTCGGGAGGCTGAGGCAGGAGAATGGCGAGAACCCGGGAGGCGGAGCTTGCAGTGAGCTGAGATTCGGCCACTGCACTCCAGCCTGGGTGGCAGAGCCAGACTCCATCTCAAAAAAAAAAAAAA